CAGATTTTCAATTCGTTCAAAGGTGGCTTTTGCGCTTGCAATGTTCGACCCATTATGTAGATGTAATCGGCGGGTAACATATGCTATTTGGTGTACATAGTGCCATTTCTGTTCACATTTGCATTTCGTATGACCTTTTCCAGCAGGATTTTCTAGGTCCTTTCCGACTTTAATTGTACCACTTAACGTTATCCTGCATAGTCTATTAAGTTTGCAGAAATGCCGAAAGTAGACATGGCTTTAAACCCCTCTGAACGTATAGGGCTGTCAAATACGACTTTATAGTTGACGAATAGGTGGAATGTATCAATGTGTTTTTCGTACCAGTCCTGAAGTCGCATTGGTATGGTCCAATAATGTCATTGACCATTGGCTTCAGTCGTTCACACATCACGCTGGATAGCACTTTATATGCGATGGTAAGGAGACTTATTCTCCTATAGTTGGCACACAAAAGAATACCAGTAAGTAAAGTAGTAAAGTCGGACTGCGCCGACTATATGATACCCTTCACCACTTTGGGTATATTGTATCTATGTATCATTACAATTGGATGTCAATGTTCCCTCGAAGGAAAATACTCATGTCTTTCTGCAACCTATGATACATTTAATTTCATCATTGCTACACGCTATTCGTTACGCCGCACTGTTAAAAATTTAATTTCAATCAGACACCCGTTCGAATTATATATGAAAGCTATGACTGCATCTGCATCAATTTCAACAAAACTCAACAACGTCATTAACCATCGGACGAAAATATATATGGGAGCTATATCTAAATCTGAACCGATTTTCCCGAAATTTAACACATAACTTTCTAGACTTAATTCAGTACGCTGTGCCAAATTTCGTGCAAATCGAAGGATATATAGGGACTTTGGTGCGCCATTTACATAAAATCGGACGAAAATATATATGGGAGTTATATCTAAATCTGAACCGATTTTCACGAAATTTAACACACATCGTTTTAGGCTTAATTCAGAATGCTATGCCAAATTTCGTGGAAATCGAAGGTTATATAGGGACTTTGGTGCACTATTTACCTAAAATCGGACGAAAATATATATGGGAGCTATATCTAAATCTGAACCGATTTTCACGAAATTTAACACACATCGTTCTAGACTTAGTTCAGTACGCTGTGCCAAATTTCGTGCAAATCGAAGGATATATAGGGACTTTGGTGCACCATTTACATAAAATCGGACGAAAATATATATGGGAGCTATATCTAAATCTGAACCGATTTTTCCCAATTTCAATAGGGTTCGTTCTTGGGCCAAATAAGTGAGCTGTGCCAAATTTCATCCACATCGGTTCACAAACGCGACCTGTACTTTGTTAACAAAAATACATGGACGGACGGACATGCATAAATCGACTTAAAAAGTGATTCTATGCCTATTCTCAAAAGGAACCATGGGTCTATCTCGTTTCCTGTTGCCTGTTAAAATATATGCACAAAGACATAATACCCTGTACCACAGTGTGGTGAAAGGTATAAACATTGTGCAGGTACAATTAACCAGACGAGGTCAAATCCCGCATCGGTAAAGAACCTTAAGCTACTGTTTATAGTGGTGACAGAATATTACCCTTTGGTGTTACTTGTCCTTGATATTTATGTCCTGTTGCCTACAGTTTATCTCTCTATTTCTTAGCATATGGCTGAACCGGGGTATGTTTGCCTGGTCAACTCGAAAGACTTCTTAGGATTGGATAAGATTTTCAGTGCCGACTTTATTAAAGGCTCTTTTTATATCAATGCATAAAGCTAAAGTAAACAAATTCTGGGCGAAGGTGCCTTCAGTATGGTGTACTACCTCGTGTAAAGCGGTTTCCACCGATCTCCTTCTTATATACACATGCTGTTAATATTTTATTATTTTATATTTAGCTGTTTTATATTTTATTTTGGTACTTATCGACTGTCCGTTTCATGGCTTTCAGTAGAAATGAGGATAAGCTTAATGGCCGTAAAATGTTGGCATTGTGCAATGGTCGTGCTTGGGTATAAAGACAACGCGGACTTCCAAACCTTACAAATGCGTTACAGAGCACTGTTAAGCTTGGTGATAAATATTTCGCCTCTTTATACCCTTCACCACACTATGGTACAAGGTACTATGCCTTTGTGAATATGTTTGTAACACTAAAGCCCCTATCTTTCTTTTGATTTGCACGAAATTTGACATAGCGTACTGAATTAGGACTAGAATAACGTACGTGAAGTTTCGTGAAAATCGGTTTAGATTTAGACATAGCTCTAATATATATTTTCGTCCGATTTTGTGTAAATGGTGTACCAAAATTTGCATAGCATACTAAACTAAGTCTAGAATAATGTGTGTCAAATTTCTTGAAAATCGGTTCAGATTTTGATATAGCTCCCACATATATTTTCGGCCGATTTTGTATAAATGGTGCACCAAAATCCCCGATTATCTTTCGATTTGCACGAAATTTGGCATAGGGCAATGAATTGAGTCTGGAATGATGTGTGGAAAGTTTCGTGAAAATAGTTTCAGATTTAGATATAGCTCCCATATATATTTTCGTCCGATTTAATGCGAATGGAGTACCAAAGTCCCTGTATATCCTTCAATTTGCACGAAATTTGGCATAGGGTTCTGAATTGAGTCTAGAATGATGTGTGCTAAGTTTCGTGAAAATCGGTTCAGATTTAGCTATATCTCTCAAATATATTTTCGTCCGATTTAATGTAAATGGTGCACTAAAATCCCTATATATAATCGATTTGCACAAAATTTGGCACAGCGTAGTGAACTGAGCCTTGAATGACGTGTGCTAAGTTTCGTGAAAATCGGTTCAGATTTAGATATAGCTCCCATGTATATTTTCGTCCGATTTTAGGTAAATGGTGCACCAAAGTCCCTGATTATCTTTCGATTTGCACGAAATTTGGCATATGACAATGAATTAACTTTGGAATGATGTGTGGTAAGTTTCGTGAAAATTGATTCAGATTTAGATATAGCTCCCACATATATTTTCGTCCTATTTTATGTTAATGGAGCACCAAAGTCCCTATATTTCTTTCGATTTGCACGAAATTTGGAATAGAGTACTGAATTGAGTTTGGACTGATGTATATATCTCCCATATATATTTTCATCCGATTTAAGGCAAATGGTGCACTAAAGCACAACGTACTGAATTGAGTCTTGAATGAAAATCGGTTCAAATTTAGTTATATATATATATATATATATGTTTATATTTCGATTTGCACGAAATGAAATTTAGATAGGTTCGGAAGGGCGACGTCTTTTAGAATATATATGTAGAATTTAGATAGGTTCGGAAGGAAGAATATAGTCGGACCAGTCCGACTTTACTGCTTTCCTTCCTGGTTTTGTAATAAAACAGGGAAGACGTTGTCTAGCCCTGTCGCTTTGAATGGGGAGAAGCTCTTCAAATCATCCCGTACCATTGACTCGTCAATATTAGGGTTTTCGGATCCTATCTCCCTAATTACTGTCATCGTCAGTTCTGAGTGTGCTTTGTGGGAAGTGTGCTTTCATGAAAACCCCTATTGTTTCATCAGTTTTTCTATCTTATTACCCTCACCATCTAGCATTGTTTCGGTTTGTGTATGAGTTTTTAATAGATATACGTCGCTTACGCTGTCCACCTGTTATCACAGGACGTTGCGTTTGACGGTTTTTGTCATTCCTTCTTATAATTATTCCAGGTTCGTAGTATTTAATAATTAAAAAAAACATTACCGAAGTTATATTAAAACGATTTATACGTAAATAATTGTTAGGGTCTAAGAGATGTATTTTGTATTTTTATCAATATAAAATTCTGCACAGGGATTTCCCGTAAGGTTTCCCATAAACATAGTTATTGTCCTTAGAAAAAATGGAAGCATCCACAGTCAAAAAAAAAAAACCTAAAAACTATGTTGTTTTCTTTCCCAATGCCTTTTATCTGCTGTCATATTACTTCGACACGAAATAACCCCACATCGAGGGTTTTTTTTGACAACTACAAAAAAAAAAAAAAAAAAATGAAAAAAACACTTTCGCTTTTTTATCTTTGATGACAATTTGTATGCAATTGATAAAAACATAAGTACATGTACATACAAGATACGAGCACATCTGCTTACACCCTCCTCCACCTGCCAAAGAAAATAAAACGTAGAAAAAAAATTGAGATGTGTTATCTGTTGTCTGTTTTATTTGTTTATTTGCTTGTTATTATTAAATAAACATTAAGTAATTTTTCTCAATTTTTTGACCGTATTTTATTCGTAACGAATTTAACGTTTTTTTGGGTTAGTTTATTACATTTGTTTATTTGAAAGAAAATAAAACAAAAAAAAAAAAAAAATGAAACCGGTACATGAGTGAATGCCCTTGGGTAGAAATCTTGGGAGTTTCACTTAAAACCAAAATTGTAAATTACTTCCTACATGACTATGCATATAATTAATTAGGCGGTTTTCGTGAATCTTTCAAATATTTTTCATCGAGGTCTATATTTGCCGTAGTTTTTTAAATATTTTTCATCGAGGTCTATATTAGGTGTGGATTTTTTACATAATTTTTTTTTAGGTCTATATGTTTTTCAAATAATTTTTTTCGAGGTCTATATTAGGCGTGGATTTTTTAAATATTTTTCTGGGTCAATATTAGCCGTGGATTTTTTAAAAATATTTTTTCATAGTCCAGTCTCAGACTTGAATTTTTTTTAATATTTTTTCAAGGTCCTGCATTGGGCGTGGATTTTTTACAGCATCATATACAGGCGTCGATTTTTTTAAAACAATTTTTTCAAGAATAATAGACAGGCGTTGATGTTTTTAAAAATATCGAGGTTCAGTCTTATTTTGAAGTACCATAGGTCCAACAAATTTTCAAGTTCCAACAAATCCAAACCCAAAATTTATTTTGACAAAAAATCATAATATTTCCTTTATTTGTTCTCAAAAATAATAATCATATACATTGAAATTTTCCATCTAATACTTAAAACTTAACCCAAAAAGTTATTAAACCAATTTCGTTGCGGTGCATAGCACGTGGGTTTGGTCAACCACAAAACATCGACAGACAGCCGTAAAATATCACCCATATCAAAGGTACACTTCTGACGAGTTTGGGCATATGGAGGATTATCATTGGCTCTCAACTCTTCGGCTTCCCATCGTGACACGGTTCCATCCGATTCACTCGATCGCGACATGGCAACTTTTAATAAAGGATCTGCAGTTAATTTTTCGGCAACTATTTTTTCCGCAACCTTATCATCCGTGTCACTGAAATAGTACTCCTTGCGGGTGGAATTGGTTTCAACAATTGAGACGGGTTTTTGATCACCGAAAGAACGAGCATAGCGTAGCTGATTAAATCCACCAAATGGTTGATGGACTGGTTGCAATGGGCTGGGACTGGTCAATTGATAGCCAGGGAAGCCATTGGGATCTGAAAGAAATTGTGGTGGGTGAGGTTGATATAAGGCATTGCCATTTTGTGGCGGTATAAATGTGTGGTCATAGAGGGGATTTTGTTGCAGGGATTGGCCTAGACCTTGAGGATTAAAAGCTTGGCCATAATTAGCGCCTCCAACTCCGCCTGTTTGTTGGAGATTTTGTGGGAAACTTTGTGTTCCGAAGCCGTTGAACTGTTGTTGCTGGGCCAATTGTTGTTGTTGTTGCAATAATAGTTGCTGCTGATTGAATTGTTGTTGTTGCTGATTGAATTGTTGTTGTGGTTGATTGAACTGCTGTGGCTGCGTAAATTGTTGTTGCTGCTGCTGATTGAGACCACCAAAGGTTTGCTGTGACAACCCTGGTGCCGAAGGATAATTGGTCTGCTGTTGGAAATTTTGTCCCAAGAAATTTGTATTGCCCACAGTTGCGGGTGCCGAAATGGGCAATGTCGGACTTAGTGTTGACGTTTCATATGGTGAACATTCTTCCTGGCTAATTTCCAATAGAAAACCACTCGAAGGCACACCCGAATAACCCATACGCATGCGTATCTTTTTCTCACCCTGATAATTCCAAAATCCGGTATAAACATAATCCGAACGACAGCCACAGAATCGTTGATTACCGATTTCAATGAAATCGTCAGGGCAGGAATTTCTTGACATGCCCGCCAAACCGGCAGCGCCACCCTGTAGTCCGCTAACAATTTGAGAAGTTTTACCAAAATCGAAAAATTTGAAAACGACACGAAGCCGGCAGATGTTGGAGGAGTGTTTCTGCAGACGGAACTCACAATCCCGACGATTAACGGGTAAGAGGTTGCTAAATATGGTTCGTGGAAATCCTGGGCTGGAAAGGTAGAACCTCTTCTGTTGGAATGGTGTGGTACAGCAGGCATCCAGGACACTACTGCTGCCATCTATGGCCCGTAAATAGCTTGTGGTGGGCCAAGCCCCCACATATTGATCTTGGGTCACGGGGACATAGGGATTCACCACATAAGGAGGTAAATAGGGTTGTACTTGATGATGTTGTTGCTGCTGATGCTGCTGTTGTTGTTGTTTCTTGGTCTGATGGTTATTTTCCTTGCAAGGCTTTTTGGAATTGGAATTTGGTTGGCTGGGTAAATAATTCCATTGCTGTACTGCCTGCGGTTGAGGTATCACAGTTCCGGTGGGCAAATAGAAGGGTCCATATGTGGTCGGGTACAAAGGTGATTGCAGCTGATTGGGATAATTTAAACCAAACAAGGGTTGCAATGGATAAACCTGATGCTGATCCGCTCCTGAAATGTTACGGAATAATTCCATTAACTGCACTCGAGGTGGACTTAAGTGTGTACCCGGTGCCGTAACTGTTATGGTATCATCATCATCTTCCGCATCATCAACATCATTGTTGCGCGTTTCGAGATTTCTCAACACCTCTTCCTTTTCACAGGCCAAACGGGTTATCAACAGCTTAAAACCCTTACCCGTTGACCAGGGTGAATCATCGGCATGGAAACGTAAACGCAAAATACCATCAGGAGTGTGATATTTTTTAATACCTACCACCTGACCACACAGAGTATCCATGTCTTCATCGACATTATCCAAACCCACTGAGAGATAATCATTTTCACAATTTTCCGATTTTTCCAAAAAGAAATCCAAAAATTGGATGTGAAATTTGGTGGGGCAACGATAGGGGGATTTGATGACATAATCCCAACAGGTTCCGGGAGGATAATCATCAGGATAATTCGGAGATTCCAATATGGTTTGTCGTGTCCTATGTACACCCGTCAAGGCACATTTGGGTAACTCATCATGGGTATGACCCCGCACCAATCCCATACACAGTAGCAAGGATATCAGTCCCTTTAATATAATTCTCATATTCCAGCCGTTCCAATTTTTTTCTTCTCTTCGTTCGAAATTTTTATTTTCCGCGTCCCGTCTTTCGTTAACGAATTCCCAATTAAGACTGTTTTAAAATTCCAAACCAATTTCGGATCATTGACTAAGTAAAACTCAACTCGGCGATTCACATTGTCCACTAAGGTGTGAAATTGTTTGTCTATTTGTTTTCTTACCAAGTTTCCGCTGCGTCCGATCCAAGCCACCATCATCGCAGTCGTCTATGAAAACAATTTAAGTTTTTGTTTTGTCCAAAAAAACTATCGGACGACCGAACAACAACATAACAACAAACAAAATATATTGTTTACCACCTTCCCCTCCCCCTTCGCTTAGGGTCGGCTTAGCGGCCGGCCACAAAATGTGCAAGACGTCATTAATACCCCAGATGAAGAAGACGACGCATACGTCTCATTTCATAGTCCACCACCGCCACATTTCATTGGTAATCGAAATATAGCCTCCAGTTAGAAGTAAAAACAAATTGTAGCATCGTTTCTGGTTTTCTTCTCTCTAGGGGAGGTGGGGTGGTGGTCAATACGAAATCATCATTAATAAATTTTACTTAATTTTTAAATGTTTCATTTTTCTATATATTTCGAAATATGTATGGAAATTTCTCCAAAATATGAATTATACGAAAAACTGCAGATGTAATTAACAAATATAGCAGTAAAATGGTCCGACGGAGATGTGCAAGAGGTGTTCATTACTTTTTTCTTGCTTGAAGAACTCTTTACTCACCATTTACAATTTTCAAAACTAACCGATATTGGATTTTGTCTCCTCCGAAGATTTTTAGGCCTGCACTTTCTAATAATTTTTTCCAAATCCTGTCAGAGGCCTGGAAATAGAGATTTTTAAAAGAATATTTATACCCTTCACCACACTGTGGTACTGTGTATTATGTCTTTGTGCATATGTTTATAACAGGCAAAAGGAAACGAGAATCACTTTTTAAGTCAATTTATACATGTCTGTCCATGTGCCCAAGGATGAACTCTATTGAAATTGGCAAAAATCGGTTCAGATTTAGATATAGCTCCCATTTATATTTTCGTCCGATTTAATGTAAATGTTGCACCGAAGTCCCTATAAATCTTTCGATTTGCACGAAATTTGGCACAGGGTACTGAATTAGGTGTAGAATGATATGTGTTAAGTTTCATGAAAATCGGTCCAGATTTAGATGTTGCTCTCATATATATTTTGGTCCGATTTTAAGTAAATGGTCTCTATGTATTCTTCGATTTGTACGAAATTTGGCATAACGTACTGAATTGAGTCAAGAATGATGAGTGGTAAGTTTCGTGAAAATCGGTTCAGATTTCGATATACCTCCCATATATATTTTCATCCGATTTTAGGTAAATGGTGCACCAAAGTCCCTATGTATTCTTCGATTTGCACTAAATTTGGCATAGCGTACTGAATTAAGTCTAGAACGATGTTTGCTAAGTTTCGTGAAAATTGGCTCAGATTTAGATATAGCTCCCATATATATTTTCGTCTGATTTTATGTAAATGGTTCACCAAAGTCCTTAAATATTTTTCGATTTGCACGAAATTTGGCATAGTGTACTGAACTAAGTCTAGAAAGATGTGTGTTAAATTTCGTGAAAATCGGTTCAGATTTCGATATACCTCCCATTTATATTTTCGTCCGATTTTAGGTAAATAATGCACCAAAGACCCTCTATATCCTTCGATTGGCACGAAATTTGTTATAGCGTACTGAATTGAGTCTCGAATGATGAGTGGTAAGTTTCAGGAAAATCGGTTTAGATTTAGATATAGCTCCCTTATATATTTTCTTCCGATTTTATGTAAATGGTGCACGAAAGTCCCTATATAACTTTCGATTTGCACCAAATTTGGCATAGTGAACTGAATTAAGTCTGGAACGATGTGTGGTAAGTTTAGTGAAAATCGGTTCAGATTTCAATATATCTCCCATATATATTTTTGTCCTATTTTATGTAAATAGTGCACCAAAGTTCCTATATATCATTCGATTTGCACGAAATTTGACATAGCGTTCTGAATTGAGTCTAGAATGACTTGTGTTATGTTTCGGAAAAATTGGTTCAGATTTCTACCCAAATGAAGTTAAATTTAGCAATACATGAGTATGTTCCTTCCAGAGAATATTGACATGCAATTGTAAGGATACAATATACCCAAAGTGGTGAAGGTATCATATAGTTGGCCCAGTCCGACATTTCTGCTTTCCTTACTGGTTTTTTAAGTACCATAGAAATGCAACCTTTTTTTAAATATGTTCAAGTACCTATTTTTTTAAAATACAGTAAAATCCCGATAATTCGTAATGTCAAGGGACCGACGGTTTTATATGAATTAACGAGGTTTTCGAATTAGCGGGAGGAAGAAAGAAAAAATACGAATTAACAACGAGGTTCTTATGCAATCGTGAGTATACATATTTAGGTACTTATAATTTTTTTTATTTTTTCAAAACAAAACATCAAAAAATCTTGTGTCCAAAACAAGATTTATTCACCATGGCACCTATCATCCTTCAAATTATGTTGTGCCATTCTTAAAACGATCGAGCCATCCTTCGCAGACTTTGAAATTGTGTAAGCCCAACTTAGCGGCAAACGTTCTAGCCTTTTCTCTCATAATCACTCCTCCAATTGGCATATTCGATTAATCTCCACGAATGTGGTAGCGACTCGCTACATCAATTTTTCACTCATTAATGATGTCGACCAGAGAATCAGTAGTCAGTGGTTCACCGTTAATGTCGTACGATGAGCACAAGAAACTGGGTTTTCCTACAAAGAATGCGGCGCCCGCCACTTTAAAATGCACCAATGAAGAGAAAGAGATGAACAAGCCATTTTATGTTTACGAATTATCGAGGTTTACGAAGACAAATTACGAATTATAACAGGTATTTAGGCATGTCGTTGGAAAAAAATTTTACGAATTATCGAGGGGACCGAAATGTATGGGATTTTTACGAATTATCGCGGTTTTTCCAAGGGACCGGCATTTTGTTACGAATAATTGGGGTTTACGAATTATCGGGATGTTACTGTATATTTTTCAATGTCTAGTCTTAGACGAGGGAGTTTTCAATATCCCACTAGTAGCGTCTTCCCGGGTTGTGGGTTCAAAATCTAACCCCAAGTGAGGATGAACTGGACACCAAGGTGATTCCGGCCAAGTCAGCTGAGGATTGATGTGGCTCTAACGAGTTGGATATAGACCTTGTCGCCCGACCGATCCTGTGTCGGCACATGCCGACTGGTCCTGTGTCGGCACATGCCAACAATAAGCTTCAGGAATCGACTCAAAGGTCGGAACTGCCCATGGAGCATCTGATGCGAAGCACTATAAACGCATTACAGGGCGATCTGCGAACTTGCTTTTGAGAGGGAGGTTAACCTCATCAGGGATAATCTAAAATTTCTAAGAAAATTCGAAATAACCTATCAGCACGTTTTTCATCTAAAGCTCCAGGTAGGGAAGATTTTCCTCCCAAAATAAGTAGTTGCTTCGCCAAAAACCTCTAAGTTTTTTTTCCGGAAACGAGTAGAGTCGACGTATCGCACTGCATATGGCAAATGTGTGAAGCCGAAATCTGATCCGAAGCCTAACTCGAGACAAAAATTGCTGGAAAAGGCCGTTAAGTGCACCCCGAAACCAACTGACATCCATAAGGGTGATCACCGTGTGAAGGACTCTGTCTCTTGTACCTATGGGCATGGATGTATCTTGAACGAGCCTGGTATCACATTGAAACAACGGGGAAAACTAAGCGACTATATATTACCAGTTCTGAGATTTGATGATGTAGATGTCGTTATCCCCAGTAGAGACGACAGGAACCGTAGTAACCTTCCTTTGCACGGTATGTTTTTTTTTACAGACAGATCCAAGATAGAAGAAGGTACAGGGTACTGAGAAAGGCTAGACCTATAAGGCTTATCTAAAAGTTGGATAGCAACTGCAGTGTTTTCCAAGCTGAAACCATAGCGATTCGGAAGGCAGAAGAATAGATAAAACGTATCGTTGAATCGGTGAAACATGAGGTATGAAATCAATATTTCTTGGAGGCACATTTTTGCCGTAGCAAAGTGGGAATACCCTCATTGATCATAAGGTATAACAAAAACCAGTAAGGAAAGTAGTAAAGTCGGACGGGGCCGACTCTATGATACCCTTCACCACTTCGGCATATTCAACAGATCAATCCTAACAGACATCGATTTTTTGAAGGACCATTAACAGGAAAAGGGATCCATAAATATGTCATTCTAATACCTATATTAAATTTTTCATTTTGTCAGATATAGGGTTGCTTCTTACAATCGAGGTTGCTTCTTATAACGAAATCTAAACCGATTTCAACTACACTTCCCACATATTATGTTATAGTAACTTCAGTACGTAGTCCAAAATGTTGTGCCGATTGGACACACCTTGTTGAAGCTATTACATACAACCTCCAGGTTATACTAACTTCAGTACGTTGTGCAAAATCTATATCAAAACCGGAACCGATTTCAATGAGACTTGCCAGAGATTATATATATATATATGTATATATATGTCTATATGGGAGCTATATCTAAATCTGGACCGATTTTCAGAAAACTTAACGCATATCATTCTAGACCTAATTCAGTACGCTGTGCCAAATTTCATGCAAATCGAAAGATATATATTGACATTGGAACACCATTTACATTAAATTGGAGGAAAATATATATGGGAGCTATATCTAAATCTGAACCGATTTTCAGGAAACATAACGGACATCATTCTAGACCAAATTCAGTACGTTGTGCCAAAATTCGTGCAAATCAAAAGATATATAGGGACTTTGGTACACCATTGATCTTAAATCGGACGAAACTATATATGACAGCTATATCTAAATCTGAACCGACTTTCTCGAAAATTGGCACACATTATTCTGGAACTAATTCAGTACGCTGTGCCAAATTTCGTGCAAATCGAAACATATATAGGGACTTTGGTGCCCCATTTACCTTAAATCGGACGAAAATATATATGGGAGCTATATCTAAATCTGAACCGATTTTTCCCAATTTCAATAGGGTTCGTCCTTGGGCCAAATAAGTGAGCTGTGCCAAATTTCATCCAAATCGGACAATAATTGCGACCTGTACTTTGTTTACAATTTAACATGGACAGACAGACGGACAGACGGACGGACGGACATGCATAAATCGACTTAAAAAGTTATTCTATGCATATTCTCAAAAGGAACCATGTGTCTATCTCGTTTCCTTTTGCCTGTTACAAACATATGCACAAAGACATAATACCCTGTACCACAGTGTGGTGAAGGGTATAAAGAGCTTCTGTAGAAAGGATAATCCATTTGGAATGGAATATCTGCTTTGACAGAAGATTCTATATGCAAAAATACTTACCTTATAGGACCTTGATGAACTCTGTTAGCCGATCTTAAATTATATCCAAAATAAATACCATAAAAATATTGTCACACTAAAAACATTTATTTATTCGAGAATCATTTTCGTAATTTTTTTCTTCTACTCCTACAAAAAAATCTCAGAGAGTATAAAATATATTAGTTCGGTTTTTTTGTCACATAAAATCTGGCAAGCTTCGTTGGGTTATTAGCGAGCGAGTATAACAAAAGCTGGACACACAAAAAAGCTCTTTCTCATTTAGAAGTATCCTGCAAAGAAAATATTGGAAAAATAGATTTTTGGTCGCTCATCTAATAAAAGTGGAGTGCTGGGAAGGAGAAACAGGTGTAATGATTAGTTTCCAAAAAGGTGCTTCTACAGGTGCTTCATAGGTTAAGGAATTATATACAAAATTTAGAATTTGGAAAAAGTGCATCTACAGGATCAGATATGTGGTATTATATACATAGAAAATGTGGAATTTCAAGCTTAAAAATTAGTTAATTAAAAAAGCGATTAGTAAAGTTATCATAGAGGTCAAACACCAGTTATTGAGATACGATCCAACACCACTACTGACCAAATCACGATGCATCGATTTTGCCATTATGGCTGAGGTTCGTGAATTGACATAATAATCACCTGGTAATTTGAGTAGATCTGGATTTGCACCGGGTGTAAAGGGAGCCAATGGCACGGAACCTTCGGGTATTGTGAAGGGTGTTGTTTGCAGAGGGGCCAATGCAACACCTTGAGCCATGGGTTGAATAATGGCTTCTGTGGTGGCTACATCACTTGTGCTGGAGGGTGCAACAGTTGTGGTTGTTGTTGTGGGAGTGGCTTCTGTGGATACAGCTGCAGTAGCAGCCGCAGCAGCTGTGGCATCAGTAGCTGGTGCCGGCTCAGGTGCAGGAGCGTTATAGCAAGCAATTTTCTCAACTTCAATGGTTTTGCTGCTGTCATTTGGATCAGGTTCGGGTACTTTAACGGGTACACAAATGATACCACCAGCAGCAGGGGCGGCTGGTTGTTCTGCAGGTGCGGCGGCAGGGGCAGGGGCTGGGACAGCTGCCGCAGCAGCTGATTGGGCATTCGCATCTGCACCTCCTGCCATTGCTGCTCCTGCAACGGCCGCTGTTGCAGCCCCGGCTGCCAATGCTGGAGCAGCAGCAGCGGCTAGGCTACCGGAATTTTCTGGGACCGCATTTGTGGCTTGTGTTGGTATTGGTCCAGGTGAACCGGCGGGAGGATCAGGATATGTGGGATTCATGGGAGCTAAATTGGCGGTGGGTTGGGCAGCATAGGTATTGGTGGGTGCTGGAGCAGCAGCTGGAACCTGACCACCATTGGTGGTGATGACAGTGGTGCCACTACCAACTTCCTGGGTGGTAACCGAACCCGGTGGACCATTGTTGATAATAATGATCTTGTCATCATTTTGGGCGGCAGGGGCAACGCCACCACCACCGCCGCCACCATAGCTGGGAGCATGTTCAATAACCTTGGTGTGGGTGGGGGTAAGGGCGTGGCCCAAAATGGCACCAGTCAGGCCACCCGCCAAGAGACCGCTACCTGGAATTTTAGAAAAAAATATATAAATATTGGACCTCTGGAAAATATCCTCCTTGGACTTACCAAAACCTAAACCTGAGCTAGATTTCTGTGGCTGTTGAATGAAAGTGGCTCCAGCAGGTATGGCTGAGCCCGCAGGCAAGAAGGTAGCTCCAGCAGGTAAAGCCTGGGCCGAGGGATAATACATGGGAGCCTGTACCGGAGGTGAGGGGTAGTAGGTGGCACCAGCCGGCAAAGCTCCTGGACTGTGATATGTGGCGCCTGGTGGCAAGGCTCCCGGATTGTGATATGTGGCTCCGGCAGGCAACGAAGAAGCTGAGGGATAATAGGTGGCACCAGCCGGCAACTGACCAGGAGCATGATAACTTGCACCAGCCGGTAAATGGCCCGATGGATGATAGGTGGCTCCCGCCGGCAATTGTCCTGCTGGATGATAGGTAGCTCCTGCTGGCAATTGACCCGATGGATGATAAGTGGCACCTGCGGGTAGGGAAGAACCTGCTGGATAATAGGTAGGAGATTGCTGCTTCGGATAACTGGATTGTACATTGTGGGCATTTGTAGCTGTGATAGGAGTGTGTACCCCACCACCACCAAAACCTCCGCCCGTGGAATTAAAACGATTGCGATTATAGGTGGAATGCTGACCATTGTAATTGGTGGCCGGTCGACTATTGGTATTGGTAGCCGCCGAATAACTGGGTGGAGCCGAGTAGCTTGGATTATAAGCCGGAGATTTCTCATACATATTGGTCTTGGCTCCACCTGCCGGATTTGTGGCCGAATATGCTGGTGGTGGTCCTTGCGGCTTGGGTGGTACATTCCAACCTATGGGTGTAGAGGTGGGTCTGGGTGCCGAACTATGGGTATTACTGGCATGGCTGTTGGTAATGTGGGTGTTGCTGCTACTGCTCGGCCGTTTATTGGCCTGTTGATTATAGCCAGCATAACTCAATGATGAAAGCCCCGTGTGGGACAACGAAGGATTTGAATGCGAGGTACTACCACCACCACTATAAGAATTTGATCGATTATTGGTATTCGTACGCCTTACACTGGACGATGAGGAGGAGGATGAACGACGACTACCACTGGAGCTGTAAATCCGTTTGGCCTCAACACTTAGGTCATGAGTCAGCAGCAATATTACAAAGGTCAGCAGGAGACAATTTATTTTATTTCTATCACGTTTTGCCATCTCTGAAAAATTAGATCCCCTTCTCGGTAGTTGTTCTGTAATTGAATAAAATAAAAACACCAAAAAATGAGAGAAAATAAAACAAAAAACGTCACATGCGAATTAATTCAATAAATTAAATAAAAATTCGTGCTCTCGAAGAAACTCAGAAAAAAAGAAAGGAATTGCCAGCGAATTGCCGACATCCGGTGGCTAAATTACATTGTTTTTATATGTGATGGGAGGGAGGTTTTTTCCACCGTCTTCGGTCGTCTTCTTTAGAATAATAGCATGATCTCGTTTACATGATGGCATGGGATCAAGTGAAATGTTTTTGTTGTTGTTCGAAATGGAAATTATGGAAAATAATAGAAAGTGGCAAACGTATTCAATTAATAAAATACTACGTATGATATTTTTGGAAGAGATTCTGGAATGTGGGAGAATTTTCCTTTAAAAAAATAAAAGATATAGAAAATAATTTACAATTACCAAAAAAAAAATCTATAAGAAGAACCGAGTTTCTCAGAAACTAAGGTCTCGAATTTTTTCTATAGAGATAAAAATAACTCAAAAACTGGGACCTGTTATTTTCTATAGAAAAAATGCCTATAATATATAATAACCAGTGAGCGGTGCAGTATAGTCGGACGGGGCCGACCATATGATACCCTACACTAACTTTGCGTTATTTGCACCCTCTTGACATCCGACTAAAGGTCAACAAATATTACTAATATTCAGTAGACGAGGGCTGTACTTGTCCAGATTCCTTTACCGTGGGTTAGGTTGTGATGTTGGGCTTGCAAAAAAAAAAAAAATAACACACACAAAAAGTTAAATTTTCGGTCCACTTTATCCCAAAATTTTTATGTGATCATCACCGAAAATTATAGGTGTTGTCCTTGACCATTATTGGAATCTCTGTGAAAATTTCAAAGCGATCAGCGCTATATATCCGTCCTCTAGTTTTGTAATGGGTTACAAAATAATGTCAGAATACGTAAGCACCTGTAAATATTTAAGTGTAACTCCCACATCTGAGGACATACGACCATATAATTAGTATCGATTTAAAGGTCAACTGCTCCTCTTGAACATACTATAAACTTCTCGGGTCTAGGTCCTTCAGGGGCAAATATATACGCCATAGAATACAAATTTTGCCATTTTTCAAACAAAAGTCAGGGTCCATTTGACCCGCTAAATATTGACCGATCTTTATCAGAACATGCATGCTTATTCTCTGGCCCCATCATCTTCTCCATGCAAAAATTCGCCTTGCAAAAGTTGCGGCCTCTGGAGCGACCAGAAAAACCGACAAAAATAAAGTTTTTGGCCCATTTCATCCCCTACATATTAACCGATATTTTCCAAAAACAATAGAGGTCTTCATTGGCCAGAACCCATTCTACACGCAAAATTTCGTGAAGATTGGTCCATAACTGTGGCCTGTATCGTGTTTACAAATTATAATGGACAGCCGGACAGACGGACGGACGGACACACATGTCTAGATCGACTCAGCTAGTCGAGATATGACGATCGGTACACTTAAAGCTTTTGGGGCTGCACAAATCTATAATACCCTGACAACATAGTTGTGTAGGGTATAACAACGCTGGACAACTTACGGCCAATTACCAATACAAGCCACAAATATTGTACCGGAAAATTCTGTAGCAACTGTTGCTACTGCACCAACATTGGCAGCCAAAGCTGCGACAGGGTCAGTTGCGTGTACAGCAGTGACAGATGATATATGTAGATTCAAATGTCCAACCAACTGAAGCTTTTCCTGGCCCTGATTCTGCATCAACTACAGAACAACCAGCCGTACCAGCTCTAGGTGATATACTTTGAGGTCCCATTGAATTACCTAAACCTAGCCAAATTATACCTTTCAATTCGGTGCAAATTCATATCTGCTGAAATTGCCAGCCACTTCTCGTTTTGAAATTGAAGACAATGCCTCAAGTCGGATTTTTCATCTATAAAAATTCAATAAGTCCTGATTTGTTTAAATGTCTCAGAAACTGTGGCCTTATTTTCCTAAAAAAAAAAAACAGTAATGAAAGTATTAAAGTCGGCCGACTATATGACACCCTGTTTAGGACTGGACAAAAATAGACGGAGTAGTTCAATCTTAATGAAACTTTGTACACGCAGTAAGTAGGACTAGTGTATGAAAAATACCAACTTTGGTACATATCGATCCATTTTTGGATATAGCCCCCAAATATAATTTCGTTCGATTTGATGTAAATGTTGCACCAAACTCCCGAGGTTTATCCGATTGAGTCGAAATTTTGGACGTCGTATTGAGTAAAATGTGGATCTGATTTAGATATAGCTCCCATATAATTTTTTTTCCGATTTTAGGTAAATGGGTTACCAAACTCCCATGGTTTGCCCGAGTGAGACGAAATTCTGCACAGAGTGCCGTATTAAGTCTAGAATGGCGTATGTCGAGTTTTATTAAAAATCGGTTCAGACATAAACATAGCTTCCATATATACATCACCTAAAAAAATAATGGACAGACGGACAACGATGTCTAGATCGACGCAGCTAGTCGAGATATGACTATCAACATACTAAAAGTTGGGTCTAGGATCAATATTTCTTGGGACCTCATACAGTTATAATACCTTTACAACATAGTTGTGTAGGTTAAATAATCATTACAAATAAACAAGGTCGAATTTTGCGTACCCAGCTCCAATAAATGGTATGGTTATGTCATCTCTCTGTAGAGAGGAAAAAGCTGGAGACTCTGAGCTTTACACCAGTACAATTTTATATCAAAAACCAGTAAGGAAAGTAGTAAAGACGGACGGGGCCGACTATATGATACCCTTCACCACTTAGGGTATATTGTACATATGTATCCAAACAGACGTCGCATTTTTAAAGGACCAGTCATTCTGCAACCGATACTAAATTTTTCATTTGGTCAGATATAGAAACTATATCTAAATCTGAACCGATTTTCACGAAACTTACCTAATTCCGTACCTAAGACCTAATTCAGTACCCTATACCAAATTTCGTGCAAATCGAAAGATATATAGGGACTTTGGTACACCATTTACATTAAATTGGACGAAAATATATACGGGAGCTATATCTAAATCTGGACCGATTTTCAGGAAAATTAACATACATTATTCTAGACCAAATTACGTGCAAATCGGAACCTATATAGGGACTTTGGTACACCATTTACATTAAATCGGACAAAAAAATATATGGGAGCTATATCTAAATCTGGGCCGATTTTCAAGAAACTTAACACGCATCATTCTAGACTTAATTCATTACGCTGTGCCAAATTTCGGGCAAATCGAAAGATATATAGGGACTTTGGTACACCATTTACATTAAATCGGACGAAAATATATATGCGAGCTATATCCAAATTTGGACCGATTTTCAGGAAACTTAACGCATATCATTCTAGACCTAATTCATTATGCTATGCCAAATTTCATAAAAAATGGGAAGATATTAGGGACTTTGGTACACCAATTACATTAAATCGAACGAACATATATATGGGAGCTATATCTAAATCTGGACCGATTTTCAGGAAACTTGACATGCATCATTCTAGACCTAATTCATAACGCTATGCGAAATTTCGTGCAAATAATTCTAGGCTTAATTTAGTACGTTGTGCCAAATTTCGTGCCAATCGAAAAATATTTAGGAACTTTGGTGTACCATTTACCTTAAATCGGACGAAAATATATATGGGAGCTATATCTAAATCTGGACCGATTTTTCCCAATTTCAATAGAGTTCGTCCTTGGGCCAAATAAGTGACTTATGCCAATTTTCATCCAATTCGGATTATAAATGCGACCTGTACATTGTTTACAATTTAACATGGACAGACAGACGGACGGACAGACATGCATAAATCGATTCAGAAAGTGATACTATGCATATTCTCAAAAGGAACCATGGGTCAATGTCGATTCCTTTTGCCTGTTACAAACATATGCACAAAGACATAATACCCTGTACCACAGTGTGGTGAAGGGCATAAATATGATTTTTTCCAAAAAAAAAAAAAAGACTTCAAAATCGGCAATATATTTTAAATGTTTTTATACCCATAATACACAAACCAACGATATCATACTATTTTCCATCCACCCTACTGATATTTTCGTCCAGAATCGTTATCAGCATTCCCAAACCCTTATATTTGATATGTATTATTTCCAAAAAAATCTGCTCTAATTATGGTAAAAAAGGCCATGGTGTACTGCTAAGATAATTGGTATTACAGATGGGATATTTCTCACCACATATTTTTTGAATCAAACTATGACTTTGAACACCATATTGTTGGTGTGGTTTGGTGCGATTTTGTAATTTGTTTAGATCGATAGATCTAAAATTGTATGAAAATATATATTTGATAGCTAAATGTAAATATTTAATTATAAATATACGGTTCGCCATTGGCTCAACTAAGTTATTGTGCGTCATTTACATTTTGAGTTTTATTTTTCTTAGATGCTTATCATTATTTTCCGTCATAATTTGATACTGCATTCCAATGATCAACAGATTATGTCCCTTACATGTAAATTTGCATTGTTTACTTTAATCATTTTTTTATTATTATTAAACTAAGCATACGTCTATTATTTCGTCTCATTTGTTCAATTCCCACAATTGGTTATTCCGTAAAATGTGTTCTTATTGTTCTGAATTAGCATTGAAGATTATCAGTAGCAGAATATCAGCCCATGTCAAGCGTTGAACTATTTAGCATTCATTTTGTGATAAGGATTTTGTTTTGTTATTCATAATTTGCTTCAGCTTAGAGAATTTGCTATAATGTAAATGTTAAATTTCTATGGAAGAATCACATATGTTTTCTACAGAAAAATATTTGTTATCTTGAATCGATTTGATCAAATTAAAAATATACCCACAAATGTGGAATTTAAAGCCAATGTTTTTTATTTACAAAATATGGTTTCTTGTATTTAAGTTATTATAA